TTTATGAGCTCAAAATTGTCATTATATTCCTTTAGCATATTCTAAAAGTCCTGTCCATTAATCATATCAGGATATAGAACCAAACCAGCTTTTCATTGCATCATCGCAACTAAAAACAACAATGATTACTCATCCTGACATAACCAAATGACATGGATTCATCATGAAATGTGTAGCATGAAAAATTACGTGAATGTGACTTGTACACGTCTATTTTCAACTAGTCCAAACTTTAACTTATCGATATCGATATAGTAACCTTAATGTACAAAGTGTAATGAATGAACAAAAAAACCGCATATCTATAGATAACCAAATATGTCCAAAAACAATGTATACATATATTAAATTAAACATAGAACATAAAATATATGAAAATGACTAACTCCCACTAAACCACAAATTCCTCAAACTGTAAAACACCCATGTGAGCAACATGCTCATGAAAGACCTTGGGCGGAAGTCCTTTAGTCAGAGGATCTGCTATCATGGAGTTTGTCCCTAAATGTTCTATGGAAATCTGTCCACTCTGTACTCTTTCCTTAACAACTAGGAACTTAATGTCGATGTGTTTTGACTTAGTCAAACTTCTGTTGTTGTTGGAATACCATACGGCTGATTTGTTGTCACAATATAACTTAAGTGGTCTTTCAATACCTTTCACAATTTGCAGCCCTGTGACAAAATTTCTCAGCCATATTCCGTGATTCGATACCTCATAGCATGCTACAAATTCTGCTGCCATAGTGGATGAAGTTGTAAGGGTTTGCTTGACACTGCGCCAAGAAACCGCACCACCTGCTAACATGAAAATGTAACCTGAAGTGGATTTCAAACTATCTTGACATCCTGCAAAGTCCGAATCAGAAAACCCAGCGATCTCCAACTGGTCTGACCTCCTGTATGTGAGCATGTAATCTTTTGTTCTCTTTAAATATCTCATGACCCTTTTTGCTGCTTTCCAATGGTCCATTCCTGGATTGCTTAAATATCTGCCTAGAACCCCAACTATGTATGCTATGTCTGGACGCGTACATACTTGGGCATACATTAAACTCCCTACAGCTGATGCATATGGAATCTTTTGCATTTCCTCAATTTCCAAATTTCCCTTTGGGCACTGATTGAGACTAAACTTGTCTCCCTTAGCAATTGGAGTATCCCCGGATTTACATTCATGCATGTCAAACCTTTTAAGAATTTTTTCGATATAGTTCCTTTGTGATAATCCTAAAATACCCCGACATCGATCTCGGTGTATCTGAATTCCTAATACAAAAGACGCATCACCAAGATCTTTCATTTCGAAATTCTTTGATAAAAATTTCTTGGTTTCGTGCAATATGCCTATATCATTAGTTGCAAGTAGAATGTCATCAACATACAAGATCAGAAAATTATACTTACTCCCCTTAAACTTGTGATATACACAATCATCAACAATATTCATCTCGAAGCCAAATGAGAGAATTACTTGATGAAATTTATAGTACCATTGACGAGATGCTTGTTTTAGTCCATAAATGGATTTTGTCAGTTTGCAAACCATACTCTTTGAATCTCCCTGCACAAAATTTTCTGGTTGCACTATTTAAATCGTCTCATCAATGTTGTCATTAAGAAACGCCGTCTTGACATCCATTTGATGAAGCTCCAAATCATAATGTGCTACAAGAGCCATGATTGTCCTAAAAGAGTCTTTCGATGAAACTGGAGAGAAAGTCTCTTTAAAGTCAATCCCTTCCTTTTGAGTATAGCCCTTAGCTACCAGACAAGCTGTATACCTTTCCACATTACCTTTAGAATCTCGTTTGGTCTTAAATATCTACTTGCAACCAATGGGTCTCATACCTTCTGGTAATGGGACAAGTTCCCAAACCTTGTTATCTTGCATGGACTTATACTCCTCCTTCATTGCTTCAATCCACTTTTCAGAGTTAGAACCTTGCATGGCTTGACGGAAGTTAACTGGGTCATCTTCCATCATACCATTGTTTTCCTCATGTTCCTGAAGAAATACCATGTAATCATCCGAAATAGCACTTCTTCTTTCTCTAGTGGATCTCCGCAAAGTTATTGGCTCATGATGCATAGGTTCTTGAGGATCTTGAGTTTGTTCTTCATGAACAACCAAATCATCTTGAGTAAGGGGTTCATTAACAATGCCTTGTGGAGGTTCCGAACTTACTTTATCAAAAGTAACTGTTTGAATCGGTTCTAGAATTGTTACCGATTATTCCTCCAAGACAAAGTTCCTGATTTTATTCTTCCCCCCAAACTCAATATCCTCAAAGAACGTAGCAGTTCCCGTCTCAAAAATTGTCTTTAATGTGGGATCATAAAATTTATATCCCCTGGCTCTCTCAGAATAACCAATGAAGTAACTACTTACTGTTCGGGAGTCCAATTTTAGTTTAATACCACGAGATTCTGTATTAAGAGTTGCATTATAGGTGACCACAGTATCAAGTAAATATAGATTATCATTAGCCAAAAAGTGAACCAGTTCCAATAATATCTGAATTAAAAGACAAACTGAACTTATTGTTTCCAAATGAACACAAATAACCTAATTTGTCCATATAAGAAACTGAAACCAAATTCCGTCTAAATGACGGCACAACAAAAGTGTCTTTCAAATCCAAATAAAAACCAGTACTTAATAACAATTTAAAATGCCCTATAGCTTCCACCTCTACCGATTTGCCATCTCCAACATATATCCATCTTTCAGAATCAATTGGCTTCCGGTAGCTTAGGCAACCCTTCATAGAAACACTGATGTTAGTAGTTGCACCTGATTCTAACCACCAAGTGTTACTAGGTACTGACGCTAAATTGACTTCAAAACAGACCAAAATAGGAAACATACTTTTGAGGATCTGAACATAATTTAAATTGGCAGATATAGAAACAATTGTTGCTAAATTAAAAACAAGAGAAATAAATTAATTATGCTCACATTATAAAAAAATAAATAATTATAAATAAAATATATATCCAAATAATGGTTTAACCCATCTCAAGACACCCAATTCACCATCAATATCAAGTCTTTGGACAGTAATATTAACTGCTAGAGGTATCTTGTTGTAATAATCAAACATTGACAATAAAGCACGTCCAACAACAAACCAGTCTTTGGATTGATTTATCATCAACAAAGCAAATCTTTATAATTATCACATGTTTATCATTACAAGTGTATATGCAATTCAGCCAAATATTAATCTTTCGTTGGGCCGACTAATACTCGCATGAATATACACAAATACTAACATTTAATATTTTTCACGAACTACCCAATTCAAGAGATGTTACTTTGGTAACTTCTTGACTCAACTTGCTCAAAAAAATATTAAACTACCAAACAAATTAATATTTTATTTATATAATAAAATCAAATATATATACTCCTCTGCCTTACCAAAGAACTCTGGTAACATTTGAAGCTATAAAGGTGCCGAATATAGCAAATGTGACAATTGCTCCAAAATTCTACAAACCTCTCATCAGAGAGTCTAAAATTCCAGTTGACACAAGTCGTTCAATTCTATTTTTAGAGATGTGGCCTAAGCGCCTGTGCCATAATGCTTCTGAGTGAGTACTATGGCAGATTTGACGGGTCAAGTGAACAGCGTCCAGGACCTTTTGCCAGGTACCTAGAGAAGTGTGGAATTGTCCCACAATATACCATGCCGGGATCACCTAGCATGAATGATGTAGCTGAAAGACGAAACCAGGCTCTGATACCATTGTTAGATTAAACTGTAATTAAATATGATCTTCTTCCTAATGATCAAACATATATCAATAATCCCATACTGTAAACATGTTATAAACTAAATGCGAAAGCGTACCTGAATTGGTCATAATGACGATATCCTTTGTAGAGCACTTTTGAGTTGATCTTATGGTCTCTACACAATCATATTTTCATGACATATGCCTTTAGCCAAAACTTTAATTTATTCAGATCACTTTATTATTTGGCTTAATAAATAATGACCCTAACACATATAAATATGTATCATATATATATATATATATATATATATATATATATATATATACACACACACACACACACACATGACCCAAAATTTGCCTAACATGTCTAAATCGGTCATCTAGTATTAAATATCCCTGAGATCACCTTTTCCAATGAAAATTACGAGAAGTATGACCTACTACTCATCACAATTATAATAACCAACTGTGAAAGAGTTAATTGATTAAGATAGGTCAACCGATATGTTATATTGATAGACATTCCTTGAATGTATTTTTTAAAATATTAGTAATAATTTCTTTTTTAAAATTTATATTTCTATTGTCCTACAACGATATTCACTACGATACCGTTTGAGTGTAGTTAGTGTGAAATAAACTTAAAAAAAATAATAAATTTTTATTTATTTTAGGAAACAAGAAACCTATTTTAGGAAACAATAAAAAACAATTTTGAAAATAAGTGAAAAAACAATCTAAACTAATTTTGTCTCAACACATGTCTGTAATTGTGTGATTTTAATCTTTTAAATCTGAATCATATCAATGGAGTTCTTCAATTATTGCAAATATATGTCCATTCAGTCTTCAAAGGTTATACCAATTCAAATTTAGTATGTCATACGTGTCATAATTAAATGTTAAGTCAACGATGAAAAGGTCAAAATCTAATAATTGTGATGCATAGATAACTCAATTAGAATTAAAAAATATAAAATTGCACATTTGTAATATCTGATAGATTCAATTGACATAATAAAAATGTGAAGGATTAAGATTACAGGCTTACAAAACTTGAAGACCAAAATTGTTCATTAAGCCTAAATAAACTGCACAAACAACTAATACAAATTTACCTTCCCATAAAAAAATATTTTTGTTGAATTTTTATGTGAATAATGGAAATGAAGCCATCACCAAACAAAAAGTTTACAACTTATAAATATGAATCATGTGATACAATGGATCATTGCTACAACACTTTGATCTCAATAGTTGGTAGAGGGTGTAAAGAGCAGTGTTTGGATATAATCAACTGTAAATGTGTTTTGATCATCTCCATGTTGATAAATAACCTGAGCAGTTCTAGCCATGTTAAGAGAAGCCTTGGAAGCTGATAAAGGCAAAGAGTTTGTGGTCAAAGCAAGATTATTTAACTCTGGCCATAAGTTCCGGATAAGCCGTCTTATATCTTTTCTGGCAACATTTTCATCCGAAATATTATTCTGTCTCATCAGACACTGTATGCTGCAAGCATTATCTCCTCTCTCTTGTTCTTCCTGAACATGAAACATGAACAACTCATCAGTGTTCAATCAATCATTAATCAAATTAATTTTTAACTAACGACAATTAGGATCTTTAGGAATTACGGTACTTTTGACATTAGACAAATTAAATGAAAATCAGTACCCTTGAGGTGCCTAAGTCGTCCCAAAGTCTTAGAATTTCCCCGGAGCATGAGAAAAGTCTTGGATATGGGTTCATCATCAGAGAAATGGTTTCCTTTGAGAGGTCATCCCCAGTGAGGAGAGTTGCATGCACCGAGGCCATGCATGATCCTGAAGAAATCACCCCATTATCCAAATATTCCTGAAAAGTTGGCACATGTTTGTTGTTGGACCATTTGGCTTCTTTTAGAAAAGCTTCAAATATGTCTATCCACTGCACCAATGAAGCACAAATATTAACCTCTTAACCTTTCATAGTTACAAACATGTTTCTATTTGAAAGGATATGTAAAAACTTACAGTTCTTTTCAAGCAAGAAACAACAGTTTGTTCGTGCTCCTTTTGAATTCTACATGCAATTTCATGGGTGGTGTTATACAGTGCCAAATAGCATATCTTCATATATTCAGGCAACTGCTCCATCGCATCAAGATCCCACCTATAAATAAAAAAAAATTTATGTTTTGATTATTAATTTTGCTTGCTGCGTTTAAAATTCACCCAAAATTTAGGTACAAACCTTTTGATTGCCTTGGTAAAAAGAACAAGTTCATCTAATGTACCATAAGTGTCGAAGATATCATCCATAACTAGCAGAATACAAATGGTTTTTGTGAGTTCAATGCGACAATTTGAATAACATGGCTCTGGAAAAATCCCCACTGTCCATAAAAAGCACTCTCCTGGTCTATCTCTTGCAAAACCAAGCCTTTGAACAAGTCCCAACGTATTCCACCACCTAATCAAGTAAAAGTAAAAATCATATATTATTAAAAGTATGTTTGTTTTTCATGCAGTAAACAAATGAAAAGAGGTAAAAATATAAGTAGGAAGCATAATTTAGAAAATTAGGCACCATTTGACAAGTTACATGGACATTAATATTGACATACTCATACACCCTTTATTTTAGTTCCTCCATAGTCCAACTCTAATATTCTCATTGTGACTCAGACTAACAACACCCTTTTGTTCAATTATTTTCTATGCTAATTATAGCTGGAGCACAAATTACCTAGAGATCTCTGCCAATTCTTTTTGGTGCATTGACTGAACCATGGCATAGTCTAACTTTGCCAATTCCAAAAGATCTGGCATTTGGCTGCTTTCTTGGCTATATTCTTCGATGTAGTTTCTAGCTTCTAACCTACCCATTCTTAGGTGCCTCGGAAGTGTTAAGGCTCTGGCAACAAGCTTTCCTCCATCTGGACTTAGATGTGGGAGTGATTTGTGCAGATGAGCCGTGGAGAAGTCCATGGCCTGTTGTAACACTTCTTCACCTTTTGCACCTAGATATGATGCCTCATACAGACTTAACATTCCCCAAATGTCATGGGTGATTGATTCCTTGAAATTCCCACTCTTGTCCAGAAAATTCTTGAAAACATCTGTGACCAATCAACAACACTTAATCAGATTAGCAAGTGTATGCAACAACCTTCAGAAACTACCTTTACAAAGGCTAAATAGGAATAAATCAATGGGAATACAATTATACCAGAACAATTAGGCAAGCCATTATGTCTCAGTAGGCGAAATTGAAGAGATGTGGCAAAGAGGTCTTCAGTAAAATCCCAATGCCCTACCTTTCCAAGTTGTACGTTGATCTCTTCTTCGAAATGGCGTCCAATCCCTAACCTTTGAATGGTGTCAATTATCTTCAATGTTTTGATTGGATCACTCGTGCTTAACAATGTCTCTTGGCTGCTTCTTTTAACTTGATCCATTCTTTTCGTCCCAGGATCAATTTGACTACGTACCTACCACCACCAACATGAGAAAATCCAAGAAAGAGAAAATGGTGAAATTTTTTAAGTTTGTTATCCCTATAGGGCTTTTTCATGCTCTTACAGAGTTTATGACTATTCTCAAAAAAAAAAAAAAAAAATATCAAACAAGACTATTCATACAAATATAAACAAAAGAAACAAAGGTTTTCATATATTATTAGTGTAATGATTTTTATATTCATAATGGAAACCAATTACATAATAAAAAAAAGTAATAAAATTAGACTAAAATAATAAAATTAAAGATTAAACTATTTTTTTTATTTGGAGACTAAAATCGTAAAATAATTTGTATAAAAGAAATATCAAAGTCACAATTAAACAATTAAAGAGAATAAATTATTATTTGGCTACACGTGATTTTGTTGAAAACTCCTTGGATTAGAGCCACGTCAATTTAATTTTGGTAGATCGAAATCTAATCCGGTAAATTGAACTGTGCGTTATAGTCTTGCTTTCCGTATATCATGTTTAATTTTGTGAATAAAAAAAGTAGTATTTAAGCTATTATATTATACACAATACTTTTTAAAAAAATAAATAAAATTATATTTTATTTAAAAGATTAGGAAAAAAAATCTCGAACATATAGAATATATTTATCATAAAAAAAACGTGTATGGTAATATATTAATGATAATTTATAAAATATTAAATTTAAATAAAAACTAAGTTTATTAAAAAATTTAAAAAATCATAAAATTTTTTGGGTTGAAATTAAAGCCTAAAATGATATATTAATTAGGTCAATTTGATTACATTATGATAAATATATTTTATATGATGTCTACGTAAAAGTAAAACACTGTTATCTTATTTTAAATTTGATTAAAAATATTATTTTATGTAACTTGTGATGAATAGTAAAATAAACCATGTGAAAAAAAATATTAACTTTAACTATATTAATTCCAATGATTTATATGTAAATAGAAAAATACTACTTTAAATATGTATCTTTGAAAAAATTATAAAAGACAGAGAATGCATATGAGATCCAAAGGTTTTATGAACAATTTCTTTTTTAGATGGATTTCTAAACACAAATACTCAGGAAAGGTTGAACCAATTATTTATTTACAGAATAGCAGTTCTTGCATTGAAGTTACACAAAGTTCTCCGCAATCTACAAAATTATATGCAAATATAAAATACAATTATAATATAATAACGTAAATAATAATAATCTAATGGTGATTTCCCTTTTCATAACAAATTTTAGTGTTATTGGAGAGAAACAATATGTATAATTAGTGACAAATAACATGATATATATCTAAATCTAAATAATGGAGAGAAAAAAAGGATAATCACTAAAAAAGTATAATATATAATGAGTAAAAAAAACTAAATATTTCTAAAAGATGGAGAGAAAAATAAATCATAAAATAAAATTAAAAAATATATTTAATAATAATAATATATAATATTAGTGAAACAATAATTAGAATAATAAATAAACTAGTGTTATGTTATATTTCTAAAAATACGTTTAGATATAAATATATGCTGTGATTAGGAGCACTGTAACCAGAAGAAAGACAAGATAGGGTATCCTGTAGGGTTCATCAGATGTTCTTCGTTGAATTGATTCTTTTCTTGAATAAATAATGGGATGTCCTGGTGGTCATAGATGACAACTACATCATTTTAAATATTTTACTTTTTTCTCATTTTTCTTCTCAGTTTATTTTCTTCTTTACCAAACATATCCTAAACCCTACAAGAGAGCGTTGATCGTGATAAATAAGAACCATTGGTGTTTGTTATCCTTCTTAAAAAACCAAATAAAAACAGAATATTCCGATGAAAGGAAACGAGAAGAAGAGTACAGTACAAAAGACATCTATAGAAGACAGTGTTTAGGGTCTAATGGAAAGCCAGAAAAGTTACCTTGTGATGAAAAGCAACTGATTTAATGGATAGTTTGTTATGAACCAGAATCTGTGGTCGTGACGTTTGTAACGACAGTAAGTTGCATGGTGGATAAATGGATGGGTGTGAAGTGTGAGAAGCAAGTGAGGCTGTAAGCGAAGGAACTCTTGCTCCGGTAACCGCCATTGTCACCTTCTATATTCACGACAACCTAGTATTTGTGAATTGCCCTAAGTCCAGGAATGACGATCGATGCGAGCAGCTTTCTCTGCACTTCTATATATATATATATACACGCTTCTGTCTTGTCAATTTCAATTATATTGTTATGTTAACAGCAGACAAGGCTTCAATTTTGGCAACTTGAGTAATTGTTATTCAATTGAAAATTGTAAAGTTTTCGCCTACATAGATTAAAAACATTTGAGTTTTAGTGGACATATTTTTAAAACATTTAAAAAAAGTTAAATCTAATTCCATTACATGATTTTAAATAAAAAAAATTATTTTATTCAACATAATTTTTTTTTCTACAAAATCAAAGTCTTAATATGTCGTACCACTTTGGTTTTATTTTTCAAAATAATTTAATTAATTTTATTAAAAATATATATTATTTAAAATTAATAATTTATTTATTATTATATATTTATAATATAAAATATTATATTAATTAATTATTTTATTTATATTAATTATTATTTTATATAAACTTTGTATAAATAATAAAAATAGAATAAAATGTTTTCAATGAAAAATATATATTAATAAATTTATTTTTAAATTTAAATTATGTTATATTATTTATTTAAAAATTAATAATAAATATTATTTAGATAAATATATTATTTAAAAAATTGATACAAAATAAATAAGTAATATAATATTTTAAATAAATATATTATTTAATTTTTGTAATAATAATATTATTTTAAATGTATTACCTTTATTATTTATATACTACTTATACTAAGTTTATATAAAATATTAATTAATATAAATAAATAAATAAATAATATAATATTTTATAACTTCTAAAATATTTATATAAAAAATAAGTAAATTATAAATTTTTTAATAATATATTGATCTTAAAAACTTAATTTAACTGTAAAACAACGGTAAAAATATATATTATTAATTTTGAAATAAATAATATAACATAGTTTAAATTTAAAAATAATTTTATTAATATATATTTTTTATTTAAATTATTTTTTCTATTTTTGTTATTTATATAAAATAATAATTGATATAAATGAAATAAGTAATTAATATAATTTTTTATAATATAAATATATAATAATAAATAAATTATTAATTTTTAAATAATATATTTATTTAATAAAATTAATTTAATTATTTAAAAGAACAAAATCGTACTGCTGATTTTATAAAAACAAAAATTAAGTTGAATTCGGATCAAGTTGATCAAGAACCAGAAGATACATAATCAAATACACTGGAAGACATTTTTTATTTAGAAAAAATGAAATCAATTTCATTAAATTTATTGATTAGAATCTTTTTCTTGTCTTATTAGATTTGTTTTTTATTTGAATATAAAACGAATATACTGTTCACTGTATCAAGTTCGACCACCTTCTATATTGATGACTTCAACTTATTTATTGCATGCTGGTCTTAACTCTCTTTCCAACTTGATCACATTTGACTATTTTTTATTAATATTTTCTTTTAATTCTTTCAAAGTATACTTTTTTTATATTTTTATTTATTAAAAAAATTTCATTAACTATAATTTATCTATCATTCTTTTAAAATTAAATATAATTAAATTTTTAATATATTTTCATATGATAATATTATTCTTCACCTAATGAAAAGTATCTTTAAGATTCAAATCATCTTCTGAAAACTATATATCAATGAATTAGTAATACTACACAAATCAATAAAAAATATTAATTTTTATGATTTAGAATTAAATTTGTTAATTAATATTTTTTAATTTATATTTATCGTTTTAATTTTTTATTTTCATAAAAATGACTTACAATAGTTTATTATATTCTCTCTATAATATATTTGATAAAAAAAGTAACAGTAGTATAATTTTACTTTGAAATACAATGTACGATTGTAATTTTTTACAATAATGATGAAATTATGGCGTTTAATAATGAATGGGGTCGCTCTCCACACAGTTTTGTTATTTAAGAAATTAATGACTTTGTATTAGTCTGCGCCATCATTCAATCATACAGATATTTTCTAGAACTTTTAGTAATAGACGGACAAAAAACAATATTAAATGTTTTCTTCTTTTACTTTTTTAAATTATTTTGATTCTTAATAATTTTAAATTCGATCAATTTAGCTTGTTTTAGAATAATTATCATTTAAATTTTGAATATTATTTTACTAATTGAAGATGTAAAACTTGTAATTATTTTTTTTACATGTAATTAATCATAGAATTTAATCGAGGTTCAAATAAAGTGTCAAAAAAATTAAATATGGTGAAAATTTGTATGAATATTAGATGACATGAACAATAAATATTAAAAAAGGATTTTTAGGTTACTCGTGCGACTTATTTCTCATGTGAATCTTACATTATTTATGATTTTTTTAGTTCAAACATAGTGTTGAGATTGATAGTTATAATGGAAATAAATCTAATGATATAAGTTTTACGTTTTAAATCTAGAGGAAAAAAAGTTTGAATTTGCGTTTTGAAATTTAAAATTATCAAAATTAATGGACTCAACTTAAAATAAAAATGACCCAAATAATTATTTAAAATAAAAAATCTTTTAGAAAACAAGTTAAAAGAAAAAAAAACATATTTTAATCTAAAGTTGAAAAGTGACTATTTTTAAAATTGATTAAGGACTTGTTTAATTTTCTATTTTTAAAAATAGTGTTTTTTAAATAAAAATAAAAATATGTTTTTTGTTTTAACTTTTTATTCTTACTAATAAATAATTTTACCAATAATTATTTTAAATTATTCATTTTGGTCACTATAAATTTATCAACGTTATTTTTTATTTTTGTTACAATTTTTAGTGATTATTAATGTTATTTTCTTTCGTCTAAAATGGTTTTAATAAATCAATACACTTAATTAAAATATTCGTTTGCAATTAATTCCTTATTATATGATAGTTTGCAATTAATCAACAGAATTATCTTATTCATTCTCATACAATGAAAAATTCGTTATGTACATTGACCTACTTATTATTAAATCCAAACATTATATTATGAATAAAATATTATAATGGTTGTACTTATTAATTATTATTACTCAGTTAACAATTTTTTGAAGAAAAAAATAGAACAAAGAAAACGTCGTCAACGAAAGAAAATCATATTTAGAAAAAATATTTATGTTTTATTTAATAAAGAGAAAGAAAATAGATGATAAAACATGACATTTGTTTCTATTTTTATCTATATTTGCTTCTAGTTCGTGAAAAAATAAATTTGAACGAAGCTGATCCGTCATTAAATATTATGTCATAAATTAAGATGATTGTTGTTAATTATTTAATTACAATTTAATTTATGAATATTTATAATTATAATTATAATTTTATTATATAATAAATAATATTAAGAAATTTAAATTAAAGCATATTTCATCAAACTTGACCTATTTTTCATTTTAAGAAAAATAATAAATAAAAACTAAAAATTTCACTAAATGGTTAAAATGATTTAGCTATCTATATCCGTGTCACCATGTTCTTAATGTATATATATATAGTGATTGATCAGAAAAAATTAAGTTATCAATGAATGAAACTTTAAATAATAAAATTAGTGACCCATATCAGAAATAGAAATGTAATTTGTAACAAAATAATTTATCAGAATGAAAATAATGACCGAAAATATTAATTTAGTAACTGAAATCAATTGCATATCCAGAGAAAAAATTAGTAATCAAAATTATATATGAAGTATGTGATCATTTTAGAGACGGAATGGAAAAAAAAACTTAATTATTTACTATTGATACTAACAATACTTTTTGAACATATTAATAATACTAATATATATATATATATATATATATATATATATATATATATATATATATATATATATATTCACTTGTTAAGATATTATTTTGGTCACCTCACATTTCAAGTTTTTTAACTCTATACTTAATTGAGTATTGAAATATAGAAGAATAGCCAATATTTCATTTTATTGGAGTTGAATGTAACGAATTTAAGTTAATTATAACTTATTCATTTCAATATCCATCTTTTCTGTATTTTTTTGTGTGTTTTATTTTAGTGGTTATTGATACATTATTTGATAATTTATGTTTATGTCGATTTTTTGTATTGAAAATTATTTTAAAACTATTTTTTTTATAAACAAATAACATTAAATATATGGGTACTCAGATCCCAAAAATAGATTACAATATAAAGTAGAGAAAAATTATTAAAAAATATACTAAACAAAATTATTATCCTAATATTTAACAAGTTAGAGTTTTCACGTTAGGTATGATATGTCAATTCTTGTTTATTTTGTACACTTGAATCCAAAGCAAATTATTTGTGAAAAGGACCATAGGATTAATGAATTTGTACTGACGTTTTAGAACCTTGTTTCTAAAGAATTGAAATTGAAAAAAAAAACTTAATGAAAGTTAAAATCGTGTAAATAATATTGGAATAACCAATTGCATTGAGTTCATGAAATTTAACTTCAATAATAATTTCACTAATATAAAATAAACAAATTATAATTTAATTAATATAAAATAGATAAAAAACAATAATTTTTAATAAGAATTATATATAAGTTAAGATAAAAAAAAGACGTAATAATAATTTTAAAATTAATTTTATTTTTTAATAATAAATTTTTATATTTGTTATTATAGGTAACATGCTATAACAATTATTATAATGTGGTTATATTAATCTTATATAATGATAAAGGTAAACCATTATCAATTTGACCGACTCTTTTAAAATCATCTTTATATTTTGTTTTAACTTTCTTGATATCCTTCACGTAAAATAGTGTTTATTTATCATAAGTTTTGCTTATTTAAATTTTTCTTACTTGATTTATGACAAAATTAGAATTGAAATTACAAAATTATTTCCATATAATTATTAGTTTTAATTAATAAATATAAGCGCACATATCCTAAAAAATAAATATTTGGACTTGCTAGTTTCCTA